AATCAAGCAATATCACTAAAGGCATTGTTCCAATTAATCCAAATTAATATCAGAATTTGTATCAGGGAATTTGATATCACATTCACACAATTGCATTTCAAACACAATATTTCAGCCACATGATACATCAGCTAAGCATCACAGCAAACATCAACAAATATGCATCACTACTTGCACACATCAATGTACAAACCAGAATATAGCAGTATCAAACAACCAAATCAATGTTACCATCACCAAATAATTCCAAACACAATATAATCACAATGAAATTCATATTGCACCAGAATTTAAATTGTTCAAATCAAGAGAAAACCAAGATAATCAAATTGTTCAGGAATTAACATGATTACAACCCAAATGAAATTTAAAACCAGAAATTTAAACTAAAACTTCTAAAAATAGAACACTAAAGCTCTTAAAATCATCATTCTGAGTCCTCTTTCATTCCAAGCTGAGCCTTAATCCGTGCAATCTCATGATTAAGGTTATCAAACCGATCAAGAATCAGAATAATATGACTCGTGCTTCCTTGACATCTCCATTACTGCATCAAGCTTGTTAATCATAATTTGCTCAAACAGAGAAAACGCTTTAGGCTCTGATTCTTGCTCTTTTTCAAGTTCAATTTCCACTTGTGGTGGCTGGTCTTCATCATGAGATGGAACACCATCTTCATCTGTTGCCGGTTTAGGTGTTGGAGGAACATCTCCTTTGAATACCCATTTATCTTCTTGTTTTAGCATCCCCATATGATGCAAAGAAGATTTTTCAATCTTGTTCGAGGCATGGAGAATTATCTTTTTCTCCCCTTTAAGATCCACACCAGCTTTCTCAAAAATCCTAAATAATAATAAAGCATATGGTATTGGACCATCCTCCTTCCTCCTAGCTTTCCAAATACAATCATTCACCACAGACACCCAATCTATCTTAATCTTTTTCTTAATAACATGCATAAGAAAAATGTCATCTCTAGACATTTGAGCATGATTATGAAGTCTAGGCTTAAGCATCCAAGCTATAATAGACGAAATCAACCTAGAATTTTTCTTCATACTTTCAACTAGAAATTTGGTATAATTTGTGGTCTCCGGGTTCCTTTGACAATCTCTAAAAGTTGTCAGCTCCTCAAAGTCACCAAAATTGAAGGGTTGGGGCTTCATACTTCCGTCTCCGCTCAACCCAGCTGCTTCCTTCAATGTTGGACCATCAAGCTTTATGAGCTTGCCCTTCACCACAGATTGCATTATCCCTTCATTGCTTGAGGCAAAACATAAGAACATCCTAATAAGCTAAGGGTAATACGATCCTTCTAACTCCAAGAACTTCCCGAGTTCCTGATGCTCCAAGAGAGGAGGAAAACTAAAACCCTCATTCTTGAACCATTCCAGCTTCAAAGTCTTCGGAGGAATGATTCTCCTACCCGCATACCACTCAAAATGGTAGTCTTGGGTCTTTTCATCAGCAAACCAAATATTTTCTTCTTTGGTTATTAAACACTTGGTGTTAGAAATTGCAATTGAGTGTTCTAGATCTAGCATGTATATGTTGTCAATTCTTTTTCCAATGATTCTAATTTCTTTTTTCAATTTATCACAGATCAAGCAACAAGTGTTATGAAATTCAATTTTAAAACCTTTGTCATTAAGTTGGCTTATACTAAGCAAGTTATGTTTCAGCCCTTCAACAAACAATACATTTTCAATCAATATTGAGGAGGAAGAGTTACCAATATTTCCATGACCAAGAATCTTCCCTTTGTTGTTGTAACCATAAGTAACAAATCCTTCATTCTTTAACTTCAGACTTGAGAATTTTGAAGGATCTACAGTCATATGCCTTGAGCAGCCACTGTCAAGATACCATAATAAGCTTTTGGCTCTCAAGCATTCTATTGTGTCTTGATCAGCTCCAACCATCAAACATAAATTGTTTTCTTCAAATTCAGATTGATCACTTGTTGTGCTTGAGTCATTGTCTTCCCAAGCAATGTAGGCTCTTTTTCCTTTGAAATTTTTCTTCACTTTCTTTTCCTCTTGTTGCTTCTTTAAAATGTTTGAACATTCAGCTTTTATGTGTCCTGGTTTTCCACACTCAAAACAATTGTAAGAGGATGTACTTGCTTCCTCTTTCTTATTAGCCTTCTTGTTGAACTTGTAGGGGGAATTCCTCTTCTTTCTTAGGAATTTTCTGAACTTCTTCACCAGCAAGTTGAAGTTCTCTGTCTTAGAATCTTCGGAGCTTGATTCTTCACATACTTCTTTGCCTTTGACTGATTTCAAGGCTCTTAGAGACACTCCTTTGCCTTTTTTGTCTTGCTGTTCATTTTCCTCAAATATATGCAGCTTTTGCTCATGCTCTCTTATCTTTCCAAAGAGAGTTGCAATGGTCAATGAAGTCAAGTCCTTTGATTCTTCTATGGCAGTAACCTTTGCTTGCCATGATCTATCCAAGCATTGTAGCACTTTCAAATTTAATTCTTCTTCTTCAAATTTCCTGCCAAGATCAACAAAGTGATTTATCAAGTGTGTAAATCTCTTTTGAAAATCAGAAATTGATTCACCATGATTCATTCTCAACAATTCATATTCTCTTATAAGAGTATGCTTTCTAGATCTTTTTACATCACTTGTTCCTTCATGAGTGACTTGCAAAGTGTCCCACATTTCTTTAGCAGATTTGCATTGAGAAATTCTGAAAAACTCATCAATAGACAATGCAGATGTAATAATGTTCTTTGCTCTATAGTCATATTGGGCTCTTTTTCTCTCATCATCACTCCACTGACTCCAATTTTTTTATCTCTTCCCATCATCATCTTTAGTCATAGGGATATAGGGTTCATTTTCAATTGTATCCCACACAGCAATGTCAATTGCTTTAATAAAAATTCTCATCTTAATTTTCCAATAGACGTAGTTTTCACCATTGAAAACAGGAGTTTATAAATAGACACACCCTCTCCATAAGGTAGGTTGCTGTTGGCCATTTTTGAAATCTTGAATAACACTCAAGAACCTTGCTCTAGATACCAATTATTAGAAAAGAATGGCTCAATCCAATTCACTCCCCTCTTGGATTGAGCCATTCTTTTCTAACACATCTCCCAATCCAAATACAACTCCACATCATCCTTTCCAAAGAATTGTGGGAGGTCAACTTTGACTTCCCTAGGTTTAATTATTCTCCTAGGTGTGGGTTGTTAGTGATCCCCCATGTTCAAACTTTCATTTGGGGATGAGTATTGGAAGTGTGAGCTCTTACTCCTTCTTTTTTTTTTTTCTCATATATTTTGTGAGTTTTTCTTCTTCTTGCTTAAGAATTCTCAAATCCTCTTCAAAGATAGCAAGTTGAGCCTCTCTTTCAATTTTATCCTTCTCTTTTTGAATGGCTTCTTGTTTCCTCCATAGTTTAAGTGATTTTATCCCTTTAGTTATATAAGAAACACTTTTTGGAGAGCCACCACTTTCACTATAGTTAGAGTTTTGAGACATTTTTAAACAAAAAGTATTTTCACACAAAAATAGTTTTTAAGAAAATAATATTTTTTTTGAAGTGCTAGACTTGACACTTAGAGGTCTAAGAGTATAAATTGAACTATGGAACGAGGTGAGCTACAAAGAGCCACTTAATAACCAAGCCTCTTCAAGTAAAAATATCTAAACCCCCTTGTACTTTTCCTTGCACAAAAAGTTTTCACAAAGTATTTTTCAAAAGAAAAATAACAAGCAAGTGCCTAATGTGTACAATTAATCAAGACTTGAAAACATAAATTGCTTGAAAACAAATTGATTGAACACTTAAATTGCTAAAAACCTCCCTCTAATTCTCTGTGTATGAATCACGAACTTGGGGCATGCCCGGGCACTCGAGCTACATTAAATGGGCACGTGTAAATTGAAAATTCTATTTTTATGCCATACACTTTTCTACTTCATTTCTCTTCTCCCTTTTATCTATTCTAAGCCTCGTCAACAAACCTTAAATGAACAAGTACATTTGAAATAAGGACGTCATTAGAAACAATGGCTTAATACGCAATAAAAAAACACATAAAGATCAATCACATTGGTTCATGCTATAGAAGCCTTGTTAATTAGAAGGAAATTTATTTTGCTAACTATACAAGTTTTGGTATTGATAATAACCTAACCTTTGGGCTTTTGTCGCATAGATAGTAACCTATTATTAGTTGTCCAAACCAATAGTAACCCATTATTAGTTATCCAAACCAATAGTAGTCCATTCTTTATTTCTTTTACACATTTTTGTCATTAATTTTTTTTAAGTTAATATATGTGTGTGTTGTTTGTGACTCTAAAACTTTGGATATTTTGTATTCTTCCACACATTTTTGTTTTGGGTTATTTTTAAAGTGTATGTGTGTTTGCATGTGCTCTATCGTTGTGCATGTCTATGATTGCCCCGATATTTCATTTTTATTTTTCCGAATCAAGAGAGATCGAAGATCCCATGAATCATGCGAAAGATCGCGATCTTACTCCAATCTTATTCTGCAATGATTTCGCATCTGATTTAGCACAGAACATTCTCCGCAAACCGTAAAATCGTATGATTTTACGAGGTAAGTCATAATTTTAACAACACTACTTCCTACAACTAGTGATTTCTATTTTAGCCCATAAAAGAGATACTGCATAAATTAGCTAGGCAAGTATAGGTATAGCAAAAAAAAAATATATATATATATATATATATATATATATATATATAAATATATATAATATGATGAAAAAATAGAAAATAACAAACACATATATTAAAACCAACAATATAACAATCTAAAAATTCATGGCATTCATAATCTAGTGATAGTCATCATAAAAAACATAAATTCCTAACCAACAAAAGGATTAAATAGTCATCTATTACAAACTAGCAAAACACAATGACAATTCCTAAAACTATTTTGTTTAATCCTCTTCATCCTCATCAATGTCTGCATAATTAATTTCAACATAATGATGTTGCTCATTTCAAAATCCTTTAGCTTCTGCTCTATTTGAATGTATGAAATTAGCATTTGGAACTAATTCCTCCTCCTCACTACTAGTGCTAGAATCTTTTGATGCCTCAAATTCTTCAACCCTTTTCCCCATGTTCTTTGAAGATAATCTTTTGGCTCTTTTACAAGGATTAGTAGATGTTCCTACCTGCCCCTCTCCACTTGCTTCTCTCTTTTTATGACGCCCAGTGTGTTGTTTAGGCTCATCAAGTCCCGAAGCTTGATAAACTTGTCTCCAAGTAAAGTCATCATCTCCTTCATGAACCCTCTCATCTTCACCTTCTTCCCTGTTTATCTCTCCAATTAGCCACTCATCCCATTAAGACTAATGGGATCGATTTCATCCTTAAGGTTATACCTCTGATGGAGTGCTTGATTATACTTGACAAATACCAAGTCATGTAGTCTTTTATGCTCGAGTCTATTCCTTCTCTTAGTATGAACCTAAAACAATTAAATAAAATCTTATTACTTAAAGAATAATAAGCAAGACATGATTGTTGACTTTAAATAGGAATTAAGAAATTAATTACTTGCTCAAAGATGCTCCAATTACGTTCACAACCCGAAGCACTACATGTCAAGCTAAGGATCCTTATTGCAAGTTGTTGCAAATATGGAGTATCTAAACCATACATCCGCCACCATTGAGCTACAAATGCAAACAAAATATGTTAAACATAGACACTTGAGCAAATGACTTAAAGAATAAAAGTTCAGAAGTTGCAATATTTTGTCTCTTACCCGGTGCAACTTCAACCCTCATTACTATAGCAGTTGTGGACCCAAACATACCACTCGCAACTTTATAGTGAGCCAACTCCTTGTGAACAATCTTCTCCATCTCCAAATCTCCCAACAACCTATTGATACAATCATACAAACTCCTAATAATCTCACCATTAAACTCCATTTGTGGGTTGGCATAAAAGAACTCTAGGTACAAAAAGTGACCACCAGCATGTAATGCACTAGTACAAAAATCACTTTTAAAATCGGGGGTTTAAAATCGATCATAAGGTAGCCGATTTTAAAAGTGATGCGGTGCCAATTTTGTAAATAATGACATTACTTTTTAAATCGGCTACCTTATGACTGATTTTAAAAGGTCTCTGATGCTACTTTTAAATCGGTTCTTAAATAGCCGATTTTAAAAGTGCTACTTTTAACATCGGCTATCTAAGAACCGATTTTATATGTAGTGTTTAAAATCGGTTCTTAAATAGCCGATTTTAAAATTGGCTATTTAAGAACCAATTTTAAAAACTACATACAAAATAACCGGTGTTAAAAATGTCAGAACTTAATTACCCCGCGATTTCTCCCTTCCCCTCCATTCTCTTTCATTTATCCCTCCATTCCTTTCTTTACTCTCTCGGGCTCTCATCTAAAGTCTCCAGATTCTCATTTTCTTTGCAAGACTACAATATCAAGGTAACATTCTCTTCTCATGTCTCTAGTTTCGTTGTTGCTAGGCAAATTTTGAATCTGGAACGGGTCGTGCTGCAAGCAGAACGGGTTGTTCTGCAAGCAGAACGGGTCGTTCTACAAACAAAACGAGTTATTTTGCAAGTAGAATGGGTCGTTCTAAGGCCGTTCCAGACTACAATTTTAGGCATTTTTCGGATCCTGGAATGGCCTGTTCCAGTTTAGGTTTTTTCTACTTCTCGCGCCACTGTCTACCACCACCAGGTACAATTTCTCTCTCTCCTCTTTCTATGTTTATGGCCAAGTACGCCATTCCTCAATTCCACTGTTTTGTGGGAATCCCACATTGACTAGTGTTGTTTCCGTGATTGCAGGGTGCCCAAGTTGTTGGAATGGGGAAGGAAGCTTAGAATGTGCCTGCTGTTGCGGGTTTGTTCAGCAAGGCCAATCAGATATTGGGGTACTTACGACTTGCGACTTGCCACCTTAATTTTATAAGCGTTTTGGTTTTTTGTTTTGTTGCTAATATAATGTGGTTTCTAATTTCAGGTTTGATCTTCTTGATGTATGCGTCAATGGGCCGAAAGAAAAGCTTGATTCGACTGTTATTAGCCAGGTTTGTTCTTCGATTATTTGGTTAAATTATGTGTTCTATTTAGTATAATTGGCAACCTAGGCTTGGCTATTTTTACTTGGCTAAGGACTAAGGTTATGTTTGGTTTGATAGAGCAGGGGGAAATGGAGTAGAACGGTGTTAGTTGATATGGTTTAGATTGTTTATGATATAATGGAATGGATTGGAAGCTGATGAAATCCATTATGTATCATTCCATCTAATGCTGCCCAATTTGGGAGATATAGGATGAAACTAACTTATACTTTTATATTTTCATTAATTATCTAATCCGAAACATTATATCGTGAGATATTTATACATCACTATTCTTTGTAATACGACCATGCATGGTGTCTGTCATTTAGAATATTCTTGTACCGGGAGGACCCTATCGGTCACGTTGACCAACACGTGCCGTTCCGTCAGACACCCATGCGAACTGGACCATACCCAAGGTTGACGTTAGCATCGGCCCAGCTGAAGGCCGATGCAAACGGCATGATGCATCCCCGCATCCTACGTATCGGCTTAGCCAAATGCCGATCCGATAGGATTACCAAGTAAACGTTTACCGACCCGGTCAACAGTCGAAGACATGCAACCTCCCAAGCATTAGCCTGTCAGCTCGGCAATGTACCGATAGGTTAAGTAGATTATAGTACAAATCATAGTTAACAAGGACAAGTGCCTAATTAAGACATGATTAGCTGATTAGCATCGTATTACCTAATTTGGTAAAGATTAGAATAGGCCCACCACGTTCAGGCCCATGTCAGGTATTATAAATAGGTCACACGCAACGAGGTACGTCACTGTTCATTAATTATCCTAGAATATCGTGCTTGTCCTGACTTGAGCGTCGGAGTACCTTTTGCAGGTACCTCCCCCCTCTGACGAATCCGTTTGAAGTATCCGTTCGGCCCTTCTTACCAAGAAGACTACGAGTGTATCCTTGAGCAGGTACAATTCTTGTTTATGTTCAACAACTTTTCAAGATACACACCAGCCAATTTGAATTCTAATACAAACCGATTTGTTTATGTTAAAAAGAAAAGAAAGAGGTATACACCTAAACAAGTGTAAAGTAAATGTACATTTTAAAAAAAAAGTACAAAGTATAAACATTAATTGCAAATTAAAATTTAAAATTTTAGTAAATTTGAAATCTTTATACAATTATACTTCATACATATGCTTTATCTTTCACTTTTAAGAAAAATTAAATTATTAATTATTAATTATTCATTTAACAACGATAACATTATATTAATTTTATTTTTCAAACCAAATTATTTATTATTTTATTTTAAATGAGATCACTAAATAAAGGGGTATATAAAAAGTAATGGAAAGAAAAAAAAATATAGAATAAGATAATTCTTAGATTCTTTTTGTTGGAAATAATTGATTATTCCAGCAAGAGGTTCAGGGAACATTGCTGTAATAATCGATTATTTGAGAAATAATTGATTATTCCAGGAAGTATTCTCTAGAATAATCAATTATCATGAAAAATAATTGATTATTTTGTTCTTGAGTGATTTCCAAAACTCATGAAGAACAAAATTATCGATTATCCTTAGAAATAATTGATTATCTAGGTCTGGAAAACTTTATAAATAGTTTTCACACTTTGAAGGAAATACAGAGAGATGAACTGAAAATTGAAGAGAGAAAAACTGATTTTGTGAAGTCTTTGTGACCTTCTTGAAGTGTTTTCTTTGTGAAACCAAGAAGAAAAACTTTTGTGAAATGCTTTGAGAGAAATCATCATCACCAATACATTCTTGGAAGAGAAGGATTAAGATTTTTCAAGAATTCACATTCTAATTTGTTCAGCTTCCAGGTGAATTCGTTCCCTTAATTCTTTGTGTAATGTGTAAGGAAATCTTGAGTAGGTGTCTCAAGTGGTAAGGAATTCTTGTAGTGGGTTTCTACAATAAGTGCTTTCTTGGGTGCAAGAAAGTGTCTATCTTGAGTGTTGAAGTGTGTGCATCTGTGGTATGCTTGTAAAACTTCTTCATTGAGATAGTGGAACAAATCTTGATTAGGTTATGATTAAGGACTGGATATAGGTCACATATGGAGTGGCTGAACCAGGATAAAACACTTTACCCTCTCCTCTCATATTTATCTCTTACTTTGAACCATCTTTAATTAAATGTTAAAATGGTTGGTCTTGATTAATATGCTTGTATGATTAAAATGGTGTAATCTGAAACATGAGCATTGCATACTAGTTGTTTTATAAGCTAATTCAATAAAGATCAAGCAAGAACTCATATAGGAGTCATTCCCATTTGCTAGAGTTTCAATAAACTTTATTGAGAATTCATATTAGAAAAGTTTTAATTGAAATAAAGATCCTTAAACTCTGAAAATTTTTTAAGTGTCATTGAATCCAATTCACCCCCCTTCTTGGATTGAGCCATTCTTTTCAATCAATTAGAAGGCCCAAGACCCAAAAAGGGTGATTTAGTAGCCTAGAAGGGGTCATTCCCAATCTGAAACGGGTCGTTCCAAACTCCTAAAAATGGCTTAGAAATGCTATGTCGAAACAGGTCGTTCCCAATTCAGAATAAGCCATTTAAACATAGTTTGTTTTGAGCGAAATTCGAATCTAGAACAGGCCATTCCATATTAAAAATTTGGCCTTAACAAACTGGCCTAGAATAGGCCATTCCTAAATAGGAACGGGTCTTTCTGGTCAGTGCTAACATCTATAAATAATAGCATCAAGAGCTACTCTAGGGACCGGAAAAATTCATCTAGAAAGCCCTAAATAGCTCGAAAACTCTCTCTCTCTCTATCTTTGTATTTCTTGAGATTTGTGAGGCATTCTGTAGTGTGAAAGGTAGCAAAAGAGCACCTAAAAGATCCCTTCATTTGGAGGTCCAAGAAAGCTCAACTAAGGGGTATTTCAGTCAATATCCTTCTCCTGTCCCTACTTCATTTTTAATAAAGATTGTTCTAAACAAAAGGAATAATCATGTAGGCGTATTAGGGAAAATCGTGTAATTTATATTTCATGTATATAAATAACCATTAATAAAGGGGAATCAATATTTAAACTGTGAATTATTATTATGCTAGCTTCGACACTAGTCATAGGTACCAATATAGGGCGTTGTAGGGTGCATAATACATTCCCTACACGTAACCAACCCCTGAACCCAATTTGGGTTATTAAGGCCATTATTGGATTTTCAAAAATCTTTTATTTTTCCAATGTTTTGAGTAAAACATTGGTGGCGAATCCATGAACCTGTTTTTAAAACCGTTAATTAGGGATTAGTCTGATTTTTAAACATTCCTTAATTGACAATATTTTCAATAAGAAGTCCAAACCATCTGTGGGCAAGATCAGAATTTTTTGGGTTCTGACAAGGAAAATGATACAACATAGCCTTCATGGTATCTTGGGTGATCGTTTGCTCCCAATCACTGGAGTAGGTGATCCTTTCTTTTTGCAACTAGAGACATTTGCAATCAAACTTAAGTTTACCGAACTTGGTCCATCCAACCCTATCCAAGTAGTGTTCATAAGACACCTTTCATCTTGTAGTTATTGGACTCTAATGGTCTTCCTAGGGAGAAAAGAAGTCTCAATATTTTTTTTCCATAAGGACTTTGAGGCTTTTGGTTGCTTGTGGATTAGGTGCCATTTGAAAAGGTTAGGGTTTCTATTTTGGAAGATGAGAGTTTGGGGTTTTAAAGAAAATGAGGATGAGTGCTTGAGAGAAATGAGAGTGTAAAATGGTTAAGTGTGTGAAAGGTGGGTATATGGAGTGGTTTTGGTTTTCTTTGAAACATGTTAGGTAAGAAAAAAGTACGGGTGGAGAGAGAAAAGTACAATTGATAAGACAATC